AGCATGGGTGGGGGGAGGGGCAAAAGGAGAGGGAGAGAGAGAATCTCAAGCAGACTCCCCACTGAGTGCAGAGCCTGATGCGGGGCTCAATCCCACGACCCTGAGATCATGACCTGAGCCAAAATCAAGAGTCAGATGCTTAACAGACTGAGCCACCCAGGCACCCCATAACCTTGGATTTTTTAAAAAAGCAATTATTTTGCTGATTTTTGCTTATATTCATCTATTTTAGTCAACAGCTTTGGCACTAAATGTCATGTAGCTATTTCTAAGCAAATCAAATCTACCCTCAAAGCAGATGAATTATTATTGGTTGTCAGGAGCTTTTGCACTTAGCCAATCTGTGGTGGTATTGTTACCTGCATTCTGTGAAAACCCACCAATACCACAATGATGTGGGAAAGCCAGGATTTGTACTCTGATCTACGTGACTATGAAGATCTAGGCTCTTTCCACTGTGCTACCCATTCCTTAAAAGAGAGACTTTTGAGACCCATGAGGATGTTTGAAATAATGTTTTGTAGATCCAGAGGCAATTTCTAAAAATGTATTTTAGAAAAGTTTTCAAGAGGCACCTAGGTGGCTTAGTTGGTTAAGCGTCTGCCTTCAGCTCAGGTCATGATCCTAGGGTCCTGGGATCGAGTTCCGCATTGGGCTCCCTGCTCAGGGGGAAGCCTGCTTCTCTCTCTCCCTCTACCCTTCCACACCCCCCACTTGTGCTTGCTTTCTCTCTCTCTCTCAAATAAAATCTTAAAAAAAAAAAAAAAAGAAATGCTTTCAATAATGAATGCTGAGTAGGAGCTAGTCATCTCTCCATTTCAGTAATGATAGAATTCATTTGAATTTAGAAGCCCTGTCTCTTTAAAATTAAAAAAACCCCGCGGTCCTAAGGTCCTGATCTGGTTTTCTTTCCTAGAAGGCAAGGGGTCCCTGAGGTGTGTGATCACCCTCCCTTCCATCCAGATCATGCTCTGGGTACTCAGAACCCAGGAATTCCCACTAAACTCAAGGAATCGTGACAAAGATGCCCATTCTCATTGCGGTACAGTGTTCACATATATCACCACGAGGCCCCTCACTCTGTGAGAGGGGCCAGGAGAAGAAATGAAAGACGTCTCACAAGGGTAGGTCATGGCCTGGCCTTCCAGCTCCTTATTTGTCAGGGCGAGGGGCTAGAACATCTGTTATTAACCGTTGGTTAGCTTAAGTTTTAATGACTATGGAGAAATATGGGATGCAGCCCAAGACCCTGTAAATGTCAGGCCTGGCCAACCCTGGGGGGTTCTTGAGATGCATGTTCCCCATGCCTGTTCCAGACTTCTGCCTCAGAAGGTTTGGGGACAGTCGGGTTTTGCATTTTAACCTGCTTCCCAGGTGATGCTCTAGTGCCCTCATTTGAGAGTGAGTGATTTAAGGTCATTCTAAGATCATGTCACAAATCCTCTGACTGCTTCTTCACAGGCTGGGGCTTCAGCATGGGCACCAATTACCACTTCCACAGCTGGAGAGTGTTTGTCATCATCTGCGTGCTGCCCTGCACCGTGTCCATGGTAGCTCTGAGGTTCATGCCGGAGAGCCCGAGGTTCCTGCTGGAGGTGAGTCAGCACCCCCCCGCCCCCACCCGATGTGAGAGCGATAGCCCTTTGGCCGCCCCCCCTTCTGCTTGCATTTGCACACCACCCCCATGTCAGCCCGCGTGGCCCATCATCACGTCTGGCTTTATTGCTGTCTGATGGCTGCATGCCCTGGATTCAGGGACTGTCAGAGGCTGCTTCCAGCCCCCATTCTCTCCAGAGGCTCTTCAAAACTGTGGCATGTTTTTTCAAGTTGCTACAGTGAGATCTGTGGGAAAACTTGCGTCTCCCGCAAGCCCATCAGGACCCCTCCCCACAGGAAAGCTGCTCCTGGTGTCTTGAGAGAAGAGTCCTTCCAACTTGGGGGGCCTCTTGTGCTTGCAGGGGTCAGACTGGGTGGGACTGGCAGAGGACTGATAGGAACTTGAAGGCTTCTACACCCCCATTTCTGAATCCATTTCTGCATCTCCTAGATCTTTCTACAGAGTGATCGTCCTTGTCAAATTCCCTTGTGTTCCATTACCAGGGGCAGACACCGCAGGGAGTTTTTTTTTTTCAACCAGGGATCTCTCAAAATTTACCCTTTGTGGTGTATTAGTTTTCTAGTGCTGCTGTGATAAAAGATTTTGTCGCAAACTGAGTGGCTTCAAGTAACGGAAATTGTGTCACAGTTCTGGAGGCTGGACGTTCAAAATCAGGGTGTCAGCAGGGCCGCGTGCCCTCTGAAGTCTGTAGGGGAGTCCTCCCTTGCCTCTTCCAGCTTCTGGTGCTTTGTCGGCCATCACTTGGCTTGCGGCTGCACCACGCTTCCTGCCAGTGTCATCTCATGCGCTCCCCTCCTGTGTCTCCGTATTCACATGCTGCCTTCTTATAAGGACACCAGTCGAACTAGATTAGGGGCCCACCCTACTCCAGTATGACCTCGTCTTAATGACATCTACAGCAGTCCTATTTCTAAATAGGGTCATACTCCGAGGTACCCGGGGCAGCAGGGACACAATTCAATCTGTAACATGTTGCTTCGTTGCTTGCTCTGGTCAGGGAGGAACGTGGCTCTCCCCCAACAGTCACTCAACCTTACGACTAGGCGTGTTGTACTATGTAGTGGGAATAGTGTGTAATGTTTACACGTTACGCCCCGGAGGCGTTACCTTAGTATCCTTCCAAGATGGGCTGGGGACAGAGACTTGTCCCAGTCCTTCCCAAGACCTGAGTGGCCCTGCATCCATGTCTAACCCCTTCACACTCAGGGTTGGACGCCCCCCGTTGGGTTTCCACCCCTCGTCAGGAAAGGATTTCTTATGCCTCTTTCCTTGCTTCCACCAGATGGGCAAACACGACGAAGCCTGGATGATTCTCAAGCAAGTCCACGACACCAACATGAGGGCGAAGGGGGCCCCCGAGAAGGTGTTCACAGTGAGTGTGCGGCACCTGGGCCAACAAAGGGGGGCTCCCCTCTTTACTGTTTTGGCTTGCTAAGAATTTTATCATATTATGATATTTATTAATTTGACAAAGAAAATGTATCAGAGGGAGAATAAAAGCCTGACAGTCCTATTATTGTGTCATAATTATTTGTTCATTTTGATGGATATCCTTGTTACTGCTAATTGTTAAAAAAAATGCTGAAGGAAAAAACTATGGGGATAAGCATATGTGCATATATTTACATCTACATTTTTTTTTTTTTAAGAGAGAGAGAGTGTGAGTGAGCAGGGCGGGAGGGAGGGGCAGAGGAAGAGTGAGAGAGAGAATCTTAAGCAGGCTCCATGCTCAGCACGTGGGCTCCATTCCACAACCCTGAGATCACGACCTGAGCTGAAATCAAGAGTCGGATGCTTAACCAACTGAGCCAGCCAGGCACCCCTCCATCTATATATATTTTAAAAAGTACCCATAGGTTACTCCATGTTGTCTTGTGGCATTCGTAATTATCCTTTTAACCAACATTAATGTTGGGAACGTTAACACAGTCTTCCTAAACATGCCCCAAATGCTAGAAATTTTTTTACCCCATTTTATTACCTTGTCCCTGTAAATATTGTCGCAGTGAACCTTCTCACACGCATAGTTCCTTCCCATTCACGTTCTTGGTTTGTTTTCTAAGATAGACTCCTAGAAATAAAATGACTGACTGAAAAAGCACTAGTATTTTTACAGCTCTTGAGTTATATTGCCAGATTACATTTCAATAGGGTTGTGCCGATCTATAGTGTCATAGGCAACAGGATAGCCATTTCTCTCCTCCACCCTTATCAGCATCGGCGCTTAGCCTGGATTTTGTTTCTTGCTTGAAAAGCTAGTGAGTGGTGATTTCCATGAAGATGTCCTGTTAGTTGCCGGGATCTGTGTTGCCCCAACCACAACCGTCTGTGGCCAAGGAGGAATGCGTGCCCTGGGTCCCTGTTTTGCATAACTTCCCTTCCAGGCTGACTTCAAATCCATTTCCACAAGGAAGCCCTCCTGGGTTAACCCCCTCCTACTCCGATTCACTGCTTTTGCAGCTTTAGCCTCTGCCATTGATTCTGGACAACACACTTGTCCTTGTTAACTGTTGCTTAGAAGCCCTGATTCTCAGGCTGGGCCACGTGGCAGGACCATGTGGCTAAGAATCCATAACCTAGAGCCTGACAGTCTGAGCCCAAATCCCAGTGTTGATACTTTCTAGCTGTATGGCTTTAGGTAGGGTATTCCCTCTGCCTCAGTGTCTCTACTGGGAACAGAGGGGTAATAATATCTCTAAGTATGGTTATGGTAAGGATTAAATAAAGTACCTAAACCAGTGCCTGCCTTGGAGTAGGGGCTACATAGATGTTAACTATTATTCAAAAATGTTATGACATAGGGGCGTCTGGGTGGCTCAGTCAGTTAAGCATCTGCCTTCGGCTCGGGTAGTGACCCCAGGGTCCTGGGATCCAGTCTAGCTAGCATCAGGCTCTCTGCTCAGTGCGGAGCATGCTTCTCCCTCTCCCTCTGCTGCTCCCCCTGCTTGTGCTCTTTCTGTGTGTGTGTGTCAAATAAATAAATAAAATATTTTTAAAAAGATTTTATTT